CAAATGCCATGATTTTATTCTCTTTTAGTGTTGAATAGTATTCCATTGTGTGTGTGTGTGTGTGTGTGTGTATACCACATTTTCTTTATCCATTCATTAACTGATGGGCGTCTAGATTGGTTCCACAGTTTAGATATTGAAGTTCACAGAAATCTTCTTAAAAGTAAACTGAATTTTAAATAGAACATCTTATTTTATTTAGATTATGTATTTTAAGAATATAAACTGTTAAAAAAGAAAGAATATATGGTCTAATAGTAATTGTATAAATATTTGAGTTCATAATAAATGAATAAAATATGACTTATCATGAGTTGAATAAAGATTTTCAATTTTTAAAAAATGAAAAATATTGTTCACTAAGCATTCTCTTTCCACTGACCTCTTTAAGGAGGAAAAGTTACTTTTTATATTCTTAATTGTATTAGTGTTAGTATGCGTGTTTTTCATTTATGTTAATGATGAATAACAAATGGAACAAAACAAATGAATTTAAAGGGCCTTAAGTCCCCATGATATTTTCAGAGCTTTAGTAAGTCTTAATTTTGGAAAGAGCAGCTTTACTTTTTATATTAAGAAACAATGGGGGCTGGGGCTCAGTAGTAGAGCACTTGCCTAGCATGTGTGAGGGCACTGGGTTTGATTCTCAGCATCACATATAAATAAATGAATAAAATGAAGGTCCATCAACAACTAAAGAAAATATTTTAAAAAAAGAAAAAAAAAAGAAACAATATTTGTGACTAGAAGTGGAATTGCCATTTGATCTAACTATTCTACTCTTTGGTATTTATCCAAAAGAACTGAAATCAGCATTCTATAGCAATACATGCATTTCAATATTTATAGCAGTGCAGTTCACACTAGCCAAGTCATGGAACCAGGCTCAGTGTTGGTCAAGAGATGAACAGATTAAAAAAAAATAGAAGCATATATACACAATTAGACTTAACGATAAAGAAAAATAAAATCATATAATTTGTGGTTAAATGGTTGGAACTCAAGAAAATCTTGCTAAATGACATAAGCCAGAACAAGAAAGTCAGGGGTTGAATGTTTTCTCTCATATGCAGAAGCTAGAGAGAGAGAAAGAACGAGAATTTAAAAAAGGGATCTCATGAAAATAGAAGGGAAATTAGCAGAGGAAGGTTGGGGATGAAGGAGGAAGGGAGGGAAAGGAGAAGAACTTGGGAGTAAATTCAACCAAATTATGTTATATGCACATATGACTGTACTACTATGAATCCTGCTTTTATGGGTAATTCTAATGCACCAATGAAAAAAAAGTGCATGTAAATAAATAGAAGGAAGACTCAAAGAGTAGAGGAAGGGGAATAGGAAGGAAAGGGGAAGCACTGGCAGATGAATTGGAGCAAATTATGTGCACATATGAATAAGTCACAGTGAACCCCACTATTCTATATAGTTATAATGCACTAATTAAAATATTTTAAAAAGAAAGCAGTTTGTAACATTTACATAAGGGCTTGGTAGAGTCATATGAGATCTAAGCCCAGTTTTAGTTAAAAGTTAAACTTGTGCTTTTGGATTCTGCACAAGGTAGACAAGGATGCCATGATATTTTCAGAGCTTTAGTAAGTCCCCAGTGCATATTAGATACTCAGTGAATATATGTGCAATGAACTAAGTTGCTACTTTTCCATTCTCTGCAAATAATTCCCACCCATTGAGTCTTACAATGGCAGTACTTTGAAGTTGATGATGTGTTTCATATATATAAAAAACTAAAAATAAAGCAGAAGTTATCTCAAAGCTAATGAAACCTAAAAAGTCTCATTATCAGCTGTATGATAGTGAAATGAATCTCATGTGATGATTAGTCTTTTGTGTGTTTGTGAGTTTTTCCAGAATGGTGTTCATAGTATTTTCTCTATGTCAATACAATCTGTAGTCTTTTGTGACTGGTGTGTTTCCCTGACCACAGATAAAATTAGTGTTCATTTTGTGACATCTATCCTTATTTCTTCTCATTGTGAAATAATATTACATGGTATGGAATATCACATCTTATCTAGTCATCATTTGAAAGACATTTAATTTGTTTATAAGTTTGGACTCTGGCTTACACTTATATGAACATTAGTGTACAAGTTTTTATATGGACATATGTTTTTAGTTCTCTTGGGTTGACTATTTGGTTACAAACTTTTTCAATTGTATGCTTTCCCCTCTTAGCTAATGATGTTGAAAACTTTTCATGTATTTATTTGCCATTTGTTTATCTTTGTTCTTTTTAAAATTTGTCTTTTCAACATTGAATTGTAATAGTTCTTTTTATATTCTGAAAGCAAGTCACTTATGAGATATATGATTTGCAAAAGTGTTTCCCCATTTTGTCTTTTCACTTTCTTGATTTTGTCTTGTTTTTTGTGAGGTCATGAAGATTTATTTATTTTTTTCTAAGAGTTTAATCATTTTATTCATTTCAAATTAATTTTATATTAGGTAAGGGTTCAACTTCATTTGCATGTAGATATCCAGTTGTCCAAGCATCATTTGTTGAATGGAATATCTTTTCACCAATAACTTACCTTGGTTCCTTTATCAAAAGTCACTTCATTGTAAATGTAGGTGCCTGGGTATTTAAAAAAAAATCTGAAGTTTTTATTTGGCCAACAAATAAGGTAGAGTGTCTTGGAGAGTCGTTAAACCTTCCTTTTTGAAAGGGGCTCAACCTACCTCTCCATTAGGACCAACTCTCTGGGAGGGTACCATGTAAATTTGTATCATTCTCATGTGCCTTCTTAATTACAACTTTGTTTATGGAATATTCTTCATTTCATGTGCCCTTCTTGAATTTTCTCTTTGTTTAAATTGGGAAACCCAAATATTTTTAACACCCAGCTCTTTCTTATCTAGTTCAATGACATTGTAAGCATGTTAGAATTAGTCCTATTTTTACAGAGGTTACATCTTTTCTCCCCCTTCACTTGTTTTCAAAGTTTATTTGGAGGCAAAGGTTAATCTTTATTGGAGTCATGCTTATAAAGTTGGGATAGTGCTGAGTGGCTGATGTTCTGCTGATCCCAGCTATAAAATATTGTTTCAGTGAGCAGAAAAACAATTTGTTTTCATTCTAATACACTATAATTCTTGAGGTCCACTGACTTTCTAAAAACATGGACTCAGAAAAAGTGGAATAAATCATAAACTGTTTTCTCTTATAATCCTTTAGTATTAATAAAAAACTACACTTAATAGCATTAAGTAATGGTTGAAGTAGTTACCAGAGTTAGATTATGTTGACTTCTGAAGAGCTAGTTATGAGATTAGATACCTCTAATGTGATGCCACCATTCATGGATATTTGGTTTTGTTTTTCCTGATGGAAAGTAAAAAGGAATTTAATTTCTCTAACTCTGCTAATTTCAGTGGAATATACACTCATTTATAAAGTATAATTTTGTATCAATACTATTAGTTTACTAATTGGGAGCCAAATCCATTATGTAAATACTACACAATAAATATTAGAGAATATATATTAGGATGTGTTGTCTTTGTACAACTTTCAGTGTCTTTGTCCTCTGTGTACCATCAGAGCAGGCAGTCACCGAATATAGTAATATCACGGTTACTCACAGATTGGTTTTCCAGAAACCCAAACCATCACAAACATTCCTTTAAACCATATGCAAATAATTTTTTTGAACAAGACAAAAGGTTTTGTTTTATATGACATATAGGCTTTCTCTAAGAGTCATTTTCTTCTTTGTAAATTAATTGTCTTCTTTAACAAATAAAAATTAGAAATTGTATGACAGTTTAGGGAACCCAGCTGAAAACTGTACTCTAGTGGAAATGATAGGAGAGTGGGCTTCTTCAATGCTTGGGAGTATAGGAATAGTAGCATAGTTAGAATGATGCCGTGTTTCTCGAAGGGCTTTCTGAATTTAGGGAAGCATGTAATATATACTAAAGAAGGATTTCTATTAAAAATGGCTTTAAATTAAGATCTGTAACTTAGCCAAGCCTACTATTTGGATATTTGAAAAAAAATTCTTTAAAGAGTACTGTTTTGTTAATACCTTATAAATATGCTTTGATTAGTTTCAGTTTATTTTTAAATTTGTTCAGACCTTTATTTAGTAATTGCTGTCAGATAATGTTCAAGAAAGGGGAGACTCAGAGTTGAACAGAAGGACACAAATCCTTGACTTTATGTATCCCTCTGATCAAGTTACAAGAAGATAGAAAATGAATCAACAATAAATATATGTCATGCAACAATCTACTTTTATTACTGACTGGTAGTGGAAGTAGAAAGAATGAAATTAATGCTTAATGTAGATATTTTATGGTTCCCCAACATTTAAAAAATGTTTTTGGTTGTTGATGGACCTCTATTTATTTTTATTTGCTTATATGCGGTGCTGAGGATCAAACCCAGTGTCACACACATGCAAGGCAAGTGCTCTACCACTGAGCCACAACCCCAGCACTTCCCCAATATTTTTTATGAGATACCCTTTGGGGGTTGCTTGTCCTCATTGTCCCCCTACCTTTGTATCTGTCCTTTTTTTTTCACCACCTGGTATCATCATTTCTCTTTGGTGTATTTTGATAGTCTTATTTTTCTTTTGCTCTTAACTTCCAGAACCCGTTCTTGGCTTTCTCTTTCCTTTCTTAAATTTTTTCATTGATTGTTGAAGAACGTGGGAACTTTTGAGGGGTCTCTCTCTAAACTTTATTTTCTTGTTCAGGAATAACAGTATAAAATGCCCAGTTGTTGCAAAAGAATGATTAATAGTTTTCCCAGATTTGTTTCTTTAATGGGGTAGAGTCAATCCTAAAAGGAAACTAAGTAGAGGAAAAATGCACCTCATTTAGCTTTTAAAGTAATGACTAGTATTATGGGGATTTATGAGACTTGAAAAAAATATAAACATTTAATTTTCTGTTTTTCTAGTACCAACATATGATACATCAACATTTAAATTACTAAGAAATTTCTCAATACTGCCATTTGAAATTCTCAGGTTGTTATCCTTGCCCTGGGCCAAATATGAATCCTATTGCTCTTGGGAGTCGCTGGCTTGCTTATGCAGAAAACAAGGTAAGACATGGCCCATGTTTGAGTAATATGTAGTAGACCAAATGTTTTAAGAATTTTCTATATTATATATGACCTGTTGGTGATTAACAATAACAAATATTTATTTTGATTGTGCAATCAATAATTGGGCTCTTTTAACAATTCATACATGTTTGAAATTGTCATTAAACCAAGACTCAGTACAATCCTTATTTTTTAGGCTTATTTCTATTTAAAGAGTTTTACCATATTAATAAAACACAGCATTGAGATTCCCATAGTAGTAGTGAAAAGATAGCCATTTCTGTAAAGCTAGAAGTCAGGAGATGCCCTGTTTCCATTATAACATTGTTATATTGGAAAGTACCAACATTGTTATATTGGAAACAGGGCATAGAACAATTTAATTGACCTTAGACATCCACAACTAGATCTAAACAAGGGTGCAGCCATTTGCTTTAGTAATTAAATCACACAGGCTCATATTTTATTGAATTTTCCAGTTATTTATCAAGTTTACTTACCAAACTTTCATAGTAAAGGAAGATATTAACTTATAGAGTAAGTTTTATTTATGTACAATTCAAGGCAAAACAAATCTAAATTTTACATAAGAAAATGTAATATCTTTTGTCATTTAGCACCCTGCATATGAATATAGAATAAAACCTAAAAAATATTACAGACTTAAAAAGAAGATTAGTATTTTTGTTGGTTGTGTGATAAAAATTTTCTATAGTATACATGTTATAAATTATATAATATATATGTTATAAAACATTATTAAGTAGCTACTGATAAAATAAAGATATAGTGAGTAAAGTAAAAGATGGAAGTCACAGAACTAGTAAATCTCTACCCTCTGGAATGACTGGGTTTTGCTTTGTCACTCAGTCTAGGCTTGAACTCCTAGGCTCAAGTGATCATGCCACTTCAAATCTCCCAAATGCTTGGCATACAGGCATGTTCTCCTAGGCTCAGCTTTAGTCATTTTTTAAACTAGCATGATTATTATTTTGGGTTCAAATGACAAAAGTGCGTCACTGAAAAAGGACAGATGTGTAGCATGTGTCTCCAGATGTGGTGTGTGCTGTGAAAGTACCAAACATTACTTCAGTAGTCTTCTGGCCAGAACTTCATAATCTGAATTTAATCAAGAGAAAATATCAGACAAATTAAAAATAATCACACTTTTAAATTTTTAAAATCATGATTACTTAGTGCACAAATTCAACATACACTTGACAAAACTACCATCCTTAATCATTTCGAGTTTCAAATAGTCCCAGAGTTGGACAGTGGGAGTGCCTTCAGGCTTGTTCCTATGAAATTATGACATATACTCCTAGTTTTTAAAAATTTGTTTACTTAACTGGCATAAGAATATGTCCAAATTCATATTGTACTTATCCTTCCTCAGCCTTGGAATCTGTTTCTGGCTCTCCTAATTCTTTTTAATGGGCAATATTACTTAGAGAATAAACTTTTTCTAGTAGATGTGTTTGTTGCTACTGGGCTGTCTTTGCTTCTAGGCATTTTCCATCGATGAGTTAGCAAATATGCATGACGTGTGTGTGTGTGTGTGTGTGTGTGGGTATGTACAAACACATGCATATGCACATATGTGATTTAGAATTCCCAAGTTCACATTGATATTTGCACTTGGTTCTTTCTGGCATTCTCCATTTTATGTTTATATGTTCCTTCTTTAGCTTGGTAGACTTGTGCTGACTTCAGCACATTTATTAATTCTATGATATAAAAAATAATTACATATTCCTTGCCTACACCACTATAAAAGTTAAGCCAAATAAGAGAAATTCATGGTATTTTTACTTAATTATGCCTGCTGCCTTTGCTGCCTAAAACTGAAGGTATACAAATAACTATTTTCATTAATCTTTCTTTCATCCCTCTCTTTTTTCCTGTCTTCATTTTGATTATGGTATTTTTTGAAATATAGTTGGGTACATTTTTCTTTTTTTATTTATGTGCTCATATATTTAAAAAAAATTTAGTTGTAGATGGACACAATATTTTTATTTACTTATTTTTATGTGGTGCTCAGGATCGAACCCAGGACCTCACGCATGCAAGGCAAGTGCTCTACCACTGAGCTACAACCCCAGCCCCTATGTGCTCATGTATTTTAATACATGTTATATATATTAATTTATATTTCCCTTTCTTTCACAAAAGTGAATGTAGTAGTACATATGCTCTTTGGCATACTAATTTTTTACTTAATATTTTCTAGAAATTAATCCACTTGAATGTTTGAATTCTACAGGGAATTCTCACTGATCTTTAATTTTGTTTTTTGTTCTTTTTTTATTGGTTGTTCAAAACATTATAAAGCTCTTGACATATCATATTTCATACATTAGATTCAAGTTGGTTATGAACTCCCAATTTTACCCCAAATACAGATTGCAGAATCACTTCGGTTACACATCCACATTTTTACATAATGCCCTATTAGTAACTGTTGTATTCTGCTACCTTTCCTATCCTCTACTATCCCCCCTCCCCTCCCCTCCCATCTTCTCCCTCTACCCCATCTACTGTAATTCATTTCTCTCCTTTTAATTTTGTTTATTCAAGATACAATTGTACTTTTCAGGCCAAAAGTTTTAGATAAAAATTTATTTGTAGAAATGCTGAGTTGTAATCAAATTGAAAAAGTAAGAATGTTGCTTATTTTTACATATTTGTCCCCAGATATTTTAATTACCAGAAGCAGGGAACAGAGAATAGCCTTTACAAAATATTGCCTTTCTATGCTCATGCAGTAGGAGGCAGCAGAGGTATAATTTTCACAATTCTTTGAATGTGTATTTGTGGATGAATTAAGAAGAGAGAGAGATTCTTTTTATGAGTTAAAATAATCATTTAAAGATTTTTTTTAATTTTACTATTTACATTTACTAACCACTCACCTTGAAATCTATTCAGTGTAGCAAAGCAGAGATTGCCTAACAGTAGCATGATGTTGCATATCAGATATATAAAGGTGTTCCATTCTATTATAGGAATATTTTTACAGGAATTTTTAAAAAGTAATATGAGTTTTTCTGGGACTGTCACATAGAGCTAGATCACTTGCCTGGCATATATGAAGCCCTGGGATCAATCCCTAGCACTACCCCCTCCCACCCACCTGCAAATGTGAATGATGAAGCAAAATTGTGAATAAAGAATAAAATGATTACATGCTAATCATCATCAAACATCCTGGTTTTAAGCGATGCAAAGCATTTTTAGGTTTAGATATTTAGTGAATTCCAAAGGCTTTCAAAAACTTTTATTACTATGCAGTATTGTTGTAATACTCTACTATTATCAGTTTATTTTTTTTAATTAAAACATACAAAACTGGCTGATTTTTTTTTTGTTAAATATGGCAAGTGTAGGACCAGTGAAAATTTAATCCAGGCTTATTGCTTCACATTTTAGAGATTCATACATATCAAAGTAGCGATTCACTTTGAAAATTGGCAGGTTGATTTGTTTATGTCAGGCACGGATGAGGGCATGTCTTTTTTATCCTAATGGTAAAAGCAGTAAGCTCTCTGAAGTGGACCGCTAGTGTATGTGTCATAGTTGATTTATGTACAATTTGTGCTGCTTTTCCACTGACACAATTGAAAATGCAAATATGGCAAAAATCTTTTGTTTATTTTTTATGTTTCCTTTTATAATCTTTGTGGAGAAATTAAGAGGACAAAACATGCAATTTGCTAGCATGTCAAATATTTAATGTTAGGAAGTCATGTATAAATCCTTTGATTATGTTTTTGAGATTTATTTGTAGAAAAGCTGCCAGACTCCAAATCCTACCATTTCAGAGTTTATGAATTCTTAAAGACTATTCCTCTTGTAATTAAAACCGTAGTTGAGCATGAAACTGCCTGAGTGGCACCAGTAGATTATAAAAAGGGGAAAAGTGTCTCAGCAGGGCTTTTAGCTGTTTTGTCTGAAATACACTCATGCAAACATTCCCACCCACCATCATCATTATGCTCAGTAAATAAGCTCTACCTAATAGCCTTAAACAGCTTCATAGAACTTTTTCTGTCTTTTTTCCCCCCAGTTGATTCGATGTCATCAGTCCCGTGGTGGAGCCTGTGGAGACAACATTCAGTCTTATACTGCCACAGTCATTAGTGCTGCTAAAGTGAGTACCTCAGTCTTCTCTAGGAGTAGTGATTATGTGGAGTAATTATCAGGTTTGCTTCTGAAGTGTATTGGCATTGTCCCTTCCATTTTCATTCACATGTGTGGAATAAACTGAAGAAGTAAATCAGAATTTTTTTCTTTTTCACTCATGAGAATTGATGATTAAATAATTTGGTATTTGATCTTGAAAGGTAAATAAATTTTCTGTTCTAATGATTCTAGGGTTTGTCCTTATCCAATTTAAAATCTTAAAATCTGTTAACTGGATTAAAGTCTGGTAACTAATTAATACCACATTTGAAAGAAGCTTTACATGTTTTAAATAGTGACTTCTGCATTCTTTGTCTGCTATTTATATCCTTCTACCTACACTGATTTCCCTGTGTATCTTTGAACATTTTTGAGGTTTTTTTTTTTTTAATACATAAAAAGAATATAATTCCTTATGAAAACTTGAGGCAATCCTCTGGCACATTCAAAGGTTCTTTCATGTTAAGAGCTATCCCCTTCACGTTTGTCAAATGAGTACTTTTTTGTGTGTTGGAGGGTCAATTTTGATGATGCGTGGTAAGCTTTATACTGATTATAAGATATTCTAATAACCACTATCCTTTTGAATTATGAAGTAGACAACAAAACAGTTCTAATAATAGGGATGACACAGTTAATCTAAATGACAGCATGTAATAGAAAGCACAACTATTCAGAAAAGAACAACAGTGTAAAATAAACCACAGGGAGGGAATCAAAGGTCACACCATTTTATGTAAAACAAATACAAAAATACTTCAAGATTGATCACAAATGCTTATATGTTGTGTTTTAGAATGTGTTCCTTGGTTTGATGAGAGAAACATTACATATTTTTTACTCAGAAGGAAAATAATGAATGAGTCCTTACACTTATAGCATTATGTATTTGTATTTCAAAAATGTTTTGAAGAATGCTCACTTTTCTTTTTTGCAAAAATAATGGTGGCTATTTCAAAGAGTAACCTAAGTTGGCATAGTTAAGCAGGTTCTTCCGTATTATTCTTTTAGTTTGTAACACATAACGCTGAAGCCTGTGTTTTAGATTCTTCAGACATATCTGTCTCGCTCACTTGGATCAGGATAGCTTATTATATTAGCATTTTGAGTAATTTTCTGTTATAAAGGGGAGGACAACTTTTTGGATTTTGTTTGCTATTATTATGTGTTTGTGTGTTTACATAAAAGAAAAGTGACCTGCTTTGCTCAGTGTTTTCCCTGTGGGTATACTGGATAGAGGTTATGATTAATATGATTTGAAAATAACAGTGTTGGGAACTGTGAGGTACTGTGTTAGGTCTTCTACATTTAGACTGTAAGAATTTATATCTTAAAACAACACATTAATCTAGTCAATTTCCAATAGGTCATGGGTTGATGAGAATTCATTATTAACTTTGGCAATGTTTACTTTGAATAAAGTAATAATTTATTTTAATTGTTTTTGCCTGATGTTAGTGTTGATTCATGTTGATGGTTATAAATTTACAAAATAAAGGAAAAAATACAGCCATAAACGCTAAAGCCCTCCATTTCCTGATAATCATGTATGTCTATGTATGTCTGTAAATGCACATTTAATTTTTAGAATTGTTTTCCTTACAGTTGTGTATTGTACCCTGATCTGGTAGCTTATAGTTATACCTAACTCAGTTGTCATTAATATTTTTGGAAAAATTTTTTCATATCCATATAATATTTGTTTACTTTGTATTCGAGTCAGAGAACATAGATATTTTAAAATTTCCTTAAAAATATTGTCAAATTATTTTGCTGAAACTCCTACCACAGAGTGATCCTTCATTTTACTTTCACAATTTGAATGTTTTTATGTAGAAAATATTGGATAATTGGCATTCTCTAGGAAGATATGAGATATTACTTGTTGGTAAATTGACCTTCGGAGGAATAAAATTGTTCCAGTTTTGCATAGCACCTACAGGGAAATGACTTCTTGGCATTTTAAATATATTCTTCGTTCTGTTGTTGCTACATTATGGGTTGTTGTGTGTTGACTTGTGAAAATTTATCGTGTTGTTCAGTAATTACTGTGCTTTTCTGTTTCAGGGAATATAAAATCTATTTTTAAATTCTCACAAAGAGATCTAGAAACCTTCTCTAGAGAATTTTATCTAAGATTTAAGAATAAACAATAACAATATTATAAAGACACTTCCAGAGAATAAGTGTCTTTTGCCTAATTTTGTTTTATGATGCCAGATTACTTTGATAAAGAAAATTGATAGCAGCATTATGAAGTGGGCTGGGAGGCACACATGAAATCTCAGCTGTCAGGAAGGCTGAGGCAGGAGAATCTCACGTTTGAGGCTAGTCTCAGCTATTTAGCAAGACCCTGTCTCGAAGTAAAAAATAAAAAGGGCTGGGATGGTGCTCAGTGGTAGAATTGCAGGAAAAAAGAAATAATATATAGGAAATTGTGTGAGTCACAGTCAACTTGGAATCATTCCGTAATAAAAGGCTGGTTGATCACTCAAATGTGAGTATATTTTGCCACATTTAGCAGGACAGAATTATGTGATAATCTTAATAAATGAACAAAAAGTGTTGAACACATATTCCTTGATAAAATGTTTTAGAAAATAGAGATTGTTTCTGTTCTCTGGATTTCCATTTTCTCACTTTATCAAATTCACTTAGGTGCAAGACGTCATATTAACGTCTGTTCTTGATAAGTCTCATGTTTGCCTTTTGGGTCTGTTTATGTTGCTTTCTCTGCTGGTTCTTATTCATGATGTTTGACTCCTTGTTTATCAGAATTTACTTCAAAAATTTTTGTAAAACTAATTTTGAGTTTGAGATGATAGTGAAGTTCTAGGACGTTGTCAGTTTTGGATCATTTTAATCCAGTTTTGGAAGTTGAGATTATTTTTATTATATAAACAAAGCTCACCTGAATGATTACCATGATTACTTTATCGAACACTAGAAGAGGTTCACTGTTTTGTTGTATATTTCTTAGTACCAACATAAAGCATGGAGAGACTCTCCAGGTAGACCCCCTTTGGCAGGCCTTTGATTCTAGGATAGGAGGTCTTTATCTTGAAATTACTTCACTGTTAACTCATTTTCTTCACAAGAGTAATCATCACCCTTTTTCTCCTGTCCGATGACAACTTTTTCTGTGGCATCAAAAGGTTATTTACCTCTTTTATTACATAGAAGGATTAATCTGTGTTTAACTTTTTCTCTCATTTTATAATTGTGAGAATAAAATATATTAACTGCATATGCACTTGGAACTCCTTAGAGGCAGTGATCCTTTAAACATTTTCTGAATTTCCAAATAGCATGTAAAAATTAATCTTCAAACTTTTAGATTTCTTACTCTTTGCTTTTTAAAACAGTTAATTTGACTTTCCTTATATATACCAATGAAGAATTTTCTATGGTAGTGTTAAAGGAAAAATTTTAATATTAAAATTGTTCAATGAGATTATTTTGATATATTTATAAAATCTTGGTCCATATATTCTAGTTTCCTCATAACTGTCATATTATGATGTTTTAAACCCTGTGTCATCAATTGATTTAGTAAAAATGTCTCTGTTTTCTCTTGTTATGTGATGACTTCTTAATGACAACTAACAGTTTTATGAGTACAGCACCATAAGCACTAATGGAGAGTGGGGAAAATGATATGGCATGGGAAAGGTTAATGATGACTAGTGACCCTTTGTTATATTTGTTTATGACAGAACAGAATATGTTCCATGCTAATTTGAATTACAGATCATCATGGATTTTCTCACACTTGTGTGAGTTTTGTTCTGTGAGTACTCTTGTAAAGACTAATCAGGGATCTAGTGAACTTTTAAATGTGGATATCTTGCATCATGAAGAGACTCTACATTTGGCCAAATTAGAGTTCTCTATTCCTGATTGATTGATTGATTTGGTGCTGGGCATGCAGGGCAAGCACTCTACCAACTGAGCTATATCCCCAGCCCTAGAGTTCTCTATTCCTAATCTATGCGTAGCCTTCACCATTCTTGAATATATTTGAGGAAATTATCACATACACATACTTTAGCTACTGAAGTCAAGTGGAAAGACAATTTACTGTGAGGTGATTTTGATGTCTAAAGATGGTATGTGAGAATTGTTAAATAACATGATATAGATTAGTTCTGGAAACTAGTGCTGATAGATGTGCATTATTCTAATGTGGAAAATACATTTATCCTAAAAACAAAGGTCTTTACTAATGCAGAAAAAATTTAACACTCCTGCTTCCCCTTCTTCCCACCCTGTTGTTAATTAGCTATGATAAATAGCTAAGTAAATAGCTAATGATACTGTCATATGACAACAAGAATTACAGATTTGATGACTGTTGAAATTTGGATTTAGATTTTTGTCCTCTAAAAGATGACTACATCAATAGTCATAATTCTTTCAAAAAAAATCAAGAACTCATGTGATATGAGCCTTGAACTATGAAATATACTACTGCATTTCCCCTTTGTACACCCTTCTCTTGTTTTCTTACGTGAACTTTTATCGTTACCTTGTGGTTTGCTTTGGTACATTACTTTCCACTTTTTATGTGCTCCAGTTCTTTTAGTTTTATTCCTATTCATTGGTATAAGAGCATGAAATAATAGGCTCAGGGGCAAATGCAGAGGATATACAGCCAAAGACTTTAAAACTGAAAGGCATTCCTTTGATAAAGGGATAGCTACCTCTAAGTGGGAGCATCTCCATTAGCATTAATGGAATGAGTACAGCGGCTGAGGCATCTCAGAGGTTAATCAGGCTTCCTGGCCAGCTCTTGACATCAATACACTGTGGCGCCTGATTCTCTAGGTCCTTCAGAGGCTTACTCGACAACACTCTAACAGACTTTGTGTAAGTCATTTCTTGTGAATTATTGAAGCAAACGTTTGGTTGCTAATTGAGGAACACTAATGTGTTTCATAATCACTGCAGTTTGAGTTTTTAACACTAAACAAAACAGTTACAATTGATTTGTGGTTTATTTGTTGTTTTCATTCTGCTGTATGTTATATCTTTTTGCTTGAATTCAGCAGATGGCTTTGCTGCTCATTTTATTTAAGTATTTATTAGGAACACATTATTATGGTTCTTAGTTTTTCCTCTCCCTCTTTCCCCACAAGACATTTGTGTTTTGTATCCATGAGCTGTGAGATCACAAGCAGTTGTAAGTGGGAATAGAGTGCAAGGCAGTATAGGATAGGGTAATGGCTAAAACCACCCTCTGTAGACAAGTAGTCCTTGTTTTGAATTCTGGCTCTGTCATTGGTTAGCTGTTTAAGCTGCCATTTTACTTAAATGTCCTAGGGCAATTTTCTCTTCTATAAAATAAAGAAGTCTATCGAGGTAGTTTATGTTAAGAGCCTGTGGCAATCCCTAGTACATAGTGAAGGTGCTGTGGAATGGAGCTGCAGTCAAGTGAGGCATATACTACTTGCATTTTATTGGAAAATTTCTTTGGAAAATTCTTTTCCTTTTTAAATTCTCATATAATTGTTGCTTAATCACATTTACACCTTCATAAACAAACTTCTTTGTGTACCATTTATAAATTATAATTTAAAAAATTGTGTGTATAATAATTTACAATTAAAAATTTTGCTATAGTTTATGCCTGAATATAGGTGATGATGTTTTTCCCATAATTATTTTAGAAGAGTTAACTCACTAAAGAATAGTTTAAAGTGTATTAATAAATTTCCTCACTACACAAGAATTGTGAAAATGTGCATATATTGAGTTTTTGATTTCTCCTTATGATCTAGGCTGCCTATCCTGGTTCTGATTTTCAAATATTTGTTATTTACCATGTTTGTTTGTTTTGGCTTTTTTCCTTTCACATGGAAAAATAATCCTCTTTAAAACTATTTTTATGAATACATCTTATAATCAGAAGATATTTACATACTAGATAAAATATATATACAAGTTGGCTTTAACTATTTGTTCCGATTGAAGTGGAATTAAAATGCAGTTTTAAAAAATATTAATTTATCTTTAATTGAAATAGTTGATTAGAAGTACTATGTTGAATTATTTTCTGTTACCAGATAGAAAAGAACCCTCTTAGATAATTTAAAATGATATTTCATTCATCTAGTAATGATGTGGAGACTATTTTCCACATCACAACTCTTGGCATATAGTATATATATAACAGCACATTATAGGTTTATTTGAGAAGCATAGTCTCTTTTCACATAATTATTCTACCAGTAACTCAGTCTTTTTCATGGTAGAAAATAGATGTAAAATTAGATATGTAATATTTCCAGAAAAAAGAATATTACAATTTTTACTTCTTTTATGTCATGTATTTTAAGATGCATACAGTAAAAGGGATGAATAAAAGAAATATTTCTATAAAATACAATTTATATGAAACAGATCTTCAATTATGATCATACTCATTTAGTTATGGCTTTATTCCCATTGTGCTGACTTTATTAGATGCCATTTCTTTCAAGTAATACTGATTTTCTAGTGAATATTCAACATGGTGAAAGTCAGATGAAACATCTATGACAGTTTGCTGGTGCAAAACAGATTGTAATAGAATCAATAATTCAATATAAAATAGGATAATTAGTAAAGTTCATATTTCTATTTAGAGTCCATATGTTGATGTGTGGTTACATATTTTGCCTTTCATTGTATAGACACTGAAAAGTGGCCTGACGATGGTTGGGAAAGTGGTGACTCAGCTGACTGGCACACTGCCCTCAGGTGTGACAGAAGATGATATTACCATCCACAGTAACTCACGACGGAGTCCTTTGGTCCCAGGCATCATCACAGTCATTGACACTGAAACAGTTGGCGAGGGTCAGGTAAGAACTGTGGGTGTATGATATTTGTGCTACCTGCAGAGATAAGGGCTAAGATCAAGAACAGTCAAAGGATATTTTGCCTAGTAGATTAATAATTTGGAATTTTAGAAATTAAAATTACTTAGATCAGGTGATTTTTTTTTCCAAGAAATGATAAGTAGGTAATGTATTACACCCGTTCAAACATTATTAATGCATCAAACCTAACTATGAAGTTAAGGTTCCAGGAAATTCTCTTGACCTCTGTATCAGGACATTTGTTTGATAAAATAGTAATTTTGTATTTCATTACATTATTCTGTTCATAATACTTTTTTTTTTTACAATGGTATGTCACCCAAATCCTAAGATTAATATATTTCTTTCTAAAGGCATAGGTTTTCACATAAAACAGTTAGCAGGATTTTATGTATCTGGGGGAATTTTAAAAAAATTAAACAATGATGGTTACAAGTTACATAGTGAATAATATCAACATTTATAACCTATTTCATTATAAATATAAAAAACAATACATGACATTTTATAATAGTGTGCCAGAAAATAATAGCTTGTTGTCAAATACTGTTATCTTCGGGTAAAACAGTTATTTTTAAAATCTAGGTTTAGAAACATTTAGAAAGGGTGATTGTAAACATGGAAACTAATTTATGCTTGCATCTTTATCTTGTTGGTAAGATGTTTCTGGCAAAATGTATGTATTCCTCTCCATTATCCTCCACTATGTATTCATGAGCTGTTTCCTTTTGTATCGTAACCTTCACTTTGCAAATACATTTCTAAAAGGAAGTTAATTTTTTGTTCTAGTAGTTTGTGATCATTGCTATAACATATAATCTAAAACCAATTTCTGGAATAAGAGTAGAACTGCATTTGTGAAATAAATTTGTTTTGCTTTCATGTAAAATATATATTATGTATACAGAAAAAAATGCTTAGAAACTGTGAGTCTTTAAAGTATTATCATTTAATATTGCATGGTCCTTTCAGAAAATCTATTTGTACTATATATGCAGGTACTCATGTTCTAGTTTGTGTTATAAAAGATTGCTTTCTAGTTCAAGAAAAAGTAAACTTTGCTGCAATTAAAATAAAAAATTTCTTTGAAATTTGGGATTATTAAATTTAGATGTTTATTTTTTTAAAAAAATTTGAACAATAGTAATTTTTTACCCCTTCTACTTAACTTTATGGTTAACAAAATGTCATAGGCTTCTTTTTCTTCTTCTTTTTTTAATGAAGTTCTAGGAAACTTTACAGTTGACTATAATGACTTTCTGCGTGTGTGTGTGTGTGTGTGTGTCTTATCTGATGTGGATAGACACATATGTTTTCTTTTTAAATTGGAATTAGACATATAAACCTTTAGTGTTTTGAGCATTAATGTAAAAAAAATTTCCTTTCATTTTCTGATTCTTAATACCAAGGCCACCCACATATATTAGGTAATAACAACTATTCAACATTTTCTGTGATTCTAAGTATGTTGAAGAGTGTTAAGTCTATAGTCATTTGAAAGTAATTTCTTTTTCTTCTTGTTCTTCATTACCTTTTTGTGGGTGGGGATGTGGCTTAGTGGTAGAAAGCTCACCTAACTTGTACAAAAGCCCTGGGTTTGATCCATAGTACTACCTAAGAAAAGAAAGAAAGAAAAAACCCAACAATGGTAACAACAAAAAACAAAATAAAAACTAGCAAACAAAATGTCCACCCCAAATAAAAACAAAAAAAGGAGTTCTCAGCTGAGTGTATTGGCCCAGGTCTCTAATTACAGCTTCTTGGGAGGCTGAGGAAGGAGGATCACTTGAGCCCCCAAATTTAGGGACAACATAGGAAACATAACTAGACCCTCTCTCTTTAAAAAAACAAAACCCCCAAGCAAACAAACAAACAAAACCTTTGTGCCTTGTCCTTTTACTGAATAAATTTTGGGGAGGTTAAAAAAAAGTGTATTTATTTATATACAAATTCTTGGTTACAGTTTGTGTAAATGGATTATAGCTTGTGAAGTTACAAAAGTTTTCTGTAATGAATGACTAGATAATGCTTGAAACAAATGTTATTTTTTTTAGGAAGAACCATAGAAGTGTTAAGTTTTAAGAGTTAAAAATCTCAAATGTTCAAAATGATGAATTTCATCTTTTCTATTTTTGTTTGTGAGCTATATTATGACATTCCAAAATTTCAGCTTACTTTAAAAATTACAAGGGAAAAGAAATGGATTTTCTAAATTATATTTTTTCAAACAGCAAATTCCTACAGTAAAACACTGTTTCCATTCTTTCCTTAATGTGCATCTGTTTTTTGTCAATAAGACATCTTCGTCTCTGATAAATATTACAGTTGGAGTACAAGTCAAGGCTGTTTTTAGGTTGTACTTTATTGTATTAAAAAGACTGCAGTAGTCAGTGCCATGGACTTATCGCTTTTACTCCTTCCCATTGATATTTCACCATAGCTGTGATGTTTTTCCTTTTCCATATATATCTCAGAAGCTAAACTGAACAGTACATTGACTTTTGTTGTTTAAATCTATTGAGCCTTTCATAAAGATATTTTTGTGTTCACTGTGGTAATGTATAAAGTCTGATTCACTGTCGTTGTATCGATTAATTTGATTTTATGGTGATGGGATTATTGTGTGGTAAGTGCATTAAGGAGGAATGGATTTGATTGACTTTGTGTCCATTTTTATCTATGTTACTTTCATGTTTTATTTAAAAGCATTTCTTGACTAAGATAAGTTAAGTGGTATGATTTGTCTTTTACACATTTATATAATTGAAGTTAGCAATGTGGTAAAATCTGTAATTGAAATAAAATGCTTCAGAATGATGACACAAACCTGTTTCTTGCCCTGAAAACAAGTGTCATTTATAATAATTTAATGGTTTTGAAGATATATTTTGTTCTTATGGTGAAGTGAAGGCTTATCCACTTTTTATCAATTAAAGTGCTTTACTTTGTCTAATATAGTCCAGTTAATGTTAGAGGTCCATTGGGCTTAGGTAAATGGTGAGTAAAGATACTGAGATATCTCTGGTATTAATGATTTGATTAATGGTTTGATGTTTTAGGCAAGGTGATGATTTAATGGAGAGGATCCTTCTAGAAGTATATGGTTATTTATATTTACAAATTCTGTAAAAATAAGACTCAAAGAACCTTATTTTAGTTAGAGGTTTTGCCATGGATCATATCTAACGTGTCTTTTGACTGGATGGCTTCTGTCTTCATTATTGCTATCAAATGCGTGCTCAATGCTAATTATAGCTGGGCATAGTGGCATATGCCTGTTATCCCAGTGGCCAGGGAGGTGAGGCAGGAGGATCAGATTGCAGGTGCAAAGCCAGCTCAGTAACTTAGTGAGACCTTTTCTCCAAAAAAAAAAAAAAAAGAAGGGCTGGGGATGTAGTTCAGAGGTTAAGCTTCTCTGGGTTCAATCCCTGATACCAAAACACAAACAAACAAATAAAAAAAAACTGATTTTCCTAGAAATATATATACACACACACACAGTGTAGGGTTATAAAATATGATAGGAATGGGATTGTTTTTATTTTGAAATAAATATAGAAATGGAAAAAATGTAGAAATGACATGAAATCTATATACACAATTTCATTTGTTATGAGGATTGTAAATTAAAACTGATACAATTTTTGATAAGCTTAAATATTTATTCACTCATGTTATTTATTTTTATGCAGTGCTGAGGATCAAACCCAGTGCCTCACACATGCTAGGCAAGCACTCTGCCACTGAGCTACAGCCCTAGCCCAGATACCATTTTTCACTTATCAGTATCTGAGAAACTCAAAAGCTTGCAAAATATTTTATTTTTATTTGTTAGTTTTGAAATAATCATAGACACAGTAAGTTGCAGATCTGTCCACATGCTTTTCACCCCACTTCCTCCCACTTTATCTGAATGGTGACATCATCATGTCTTACAATATCTTACATCTCTATAGTGCAGTATCAAAACTGGAAATTGGCAATGGCACATTACTATTAACTAGGTTATAGAGCATTTATTTAGCTTGTTCATTTGTACATAGATGTGGGTGTTTATAATTGTATTTTTGTTTTTGTTGTGCTAGGGATTTAACTAGCATCTCTTATATGCCAGGCAAGTCCTGTACACAGTTATATTCCCAGCCCAGTTCTATAAATATTTATCCCTTGAACAGTTTCATGTAACCACCAGGATAATTAAGATATGAATCTGTTCCATCCATAGTTACCTCTTTGTATTTAAGCCATCCTTCATTCCACCATATCCCTTTCTCCAAGAAAACACCATAAGTGTGTTCTCCAACTCTAAAAGTTTTGTGATTTTTTAAAAGAATGTTCTATAAATGAAATGTCATATAGCATATGACATTTTATTTCTCATGTCATTATTGACATTCTTTAGGGATATTTTTATCTGGCATAGAATTAACAGCTTTCCTACTAGAGAGGGTTTTACTTGAATTGTTTAGAAACTGAAAACATAAGCATGCCAGTGTTCTTGTCAAATAGTAAAGTTGATAAGGAATGAGCAGGCACAGTATACTTTCCTGGTAGGCTGAAATTGCAGTTCATCTTATGGCCAGTTGAAGAACAGAGAGGAAGCTATTGATGAAATATGAACAGAATCTCAGAGGCATTTGGGCCAGCACTATATAAGCTGGCATGTTGCTATAGTTTGGATATGAGGTATCCCCCAATAGCTCACTTGTGAGACACTGCAACAAGGGTTGGAGGATGAATGATTGGGTTATAGCCTTAACCCAATCAGTGAATAATTTCCTGATAGGATTATCTGAGTGGTGACTGGAGGCAGGTGGGTTGTGGCTGGAGGAGGTGGGAATTGGAGCATGGCTATGAGTATATATTTGTATCTGACAGTGGAGACTTCTCCCTCTGCTTTCTGATAATGATGTGAGCTGCTTCCTTCTGCCACACTTTCTCCCCATGATGTTCAGCCTCACCTTGAGCCCCAAGGAGTGGAGCTGGCCTTTTAGGCATTTGCCATAGCAATAGTTGGTTCTTTGAAAACTAACGTCATTGATACATTTGTAGCTAGACTGGATTTGAGGTTCTAGCCAGAGCAGTAAGATAAGTAATTTTTAAGGATAAAATTAAAATTATGACATTTCAGACATTTTTATGTGATAGCTTGTTTTGATGGTTTAATACTATGTAAATGTAATATATAATACTATACGAATTATAAAGTTAAAATGAGTGGCTTTTATCATATGTAAATTGTATTAGTGTAAAGCTTTCACAAACAAAAGTACTATCCCAATACTTACAGGTTTTTTGTCCAAATTTGCAAGTAAAGTAACTGATCTGGTCATTTACTGTGTCTTTCAGGGCTTGAATAGTATTTGGTTTATGCTTCCAGCATCTAGCAGGTTATTTGACATGTAATGCTTGACTCTACTAGCAATTTTGAGAAAAAAATGAATATTGCCTTGGTAGGACTATATTTTAGTTTGCTGAGAATTGTATTTTCTATGTCTAAATATTGTGATCCAATATTTTTTAATATTTATTTTTTGGGTTTAATATTTAATATTTATTTTTTATTTTTATGTGGTGCTGAGGGTCGAACCCAGTTCCCCATGCATGCCAGGCAAGCAGTCTACCACTGAGCCACAACCCCAGCCCTGTGATCCAATATTTTGACAAGTTTTTTCCTTGCACATTTGATAGGCAAAAACATTTCTTTTAAAATTGTTGTTCAGTGGGCATGGTGGTGCATGTCTCTAATCCCAGTGACTTGGGGGGCTGAGGCAGGAGTGTCACAAGTTTGAGGCCAGCTTGAACAAGTTAGCGAGGCCCTAAGCAACTTAATGAGACCCTGACTCAAAATAAAAAATAAAAAGAACTGGGGATGACGGGCATAGTAGTGCACACCTGTAATCCCAGCAGCTCAGGAGGTTGAGGCAGAAGAATTATGAGTTTAAAGCCAGCTTTAGCAATTTAGTGAGACCATAAGTAACTCAGTGAGACCCTGTCTCTAAATAAAATACAAAACAGGGCTGGGGATGTGGCTCAGTGGTTGACTGCCCCTGAGTTCAATGCCCAGTACCAAAAAAAAAAAAAAAAAAAAAAAAGGACTGGGGATGTAGCTCAGTGGTAAAGAGCTCCTGGGTTCAATACCCAGTCCAAAAAAATGAAAAATAAAATTATTGTTTAGTGCACTAGTGGTGGGACATATTTTATAGATTGTAAATTATATTTCAATGTATCTATAAAATTAAGGGAAAATAATAAATCACATTGGAGATATAAACCTACCTCTTCTATTGTTTTTGTGCTTTTTTATGTGTTATCTTAGTAGTATAACATTTTCAAAGAACTCCTTGTCCATCTATAAGTAAGTAATAAAGTTGACATTTTTGTACTTTAAAATAAAAAAATTTTATTTGGTAATTATTTGTTTATTTGAATTTTACTTAAGCTATATTTTTTTCTGTTCTCGTGTTCTATTCTAATTTTTAATTCTAATAGAAAATTTTTTTCCAGCAGTCTATAAAGATAAAAAGTATATTTTATGTCCTTGAGTAAAGCTATATTTGATTATATTTTGTTAAAGACTTGAAATTACTTGATTTTGGCTTTTTGTCCCTTCATGTGTAATTGAAGAAATACTTGCCTGTGTCCTTTACACTCAGGTCAACTGTTTTTAGAATATATATGCCTATCTTCTAGGGGCATGTTTTATTTTATTTTATTTTTTTTAATTTTTTATTGTTGGTTGTTCAAAACATTACAAATTTCTTGACATATCGTATTCCACACTTTGATTCAAGTGGGTTATGAACTCCCACCTTCACCCCATACACAGATTGCAGAATCACATCAGTTACACATCCATTGATTTACATATTGCCATACTAGTGTCTGTTGTGCTCCGCTGCCTTTCCCATCCTCCCCCCTCCCCACCTCTCCCCTCCCCTCCCCTCCTCTCTCTCTACCCCCTCCACTGTATAACCCTGAGGGTCTCCTTCCATTTCCATGCAATTTCCCTTCTCTCTCCCTTTCCCTCCCACCTCTCATCCCTGTTAAATGTTAATCTTCTTCTCCTGCTCTTCGTCCTACTCTGATCTTAGTTACTCTCCTTATATCAAAGAAGACATTTGGCATTTGTTTTTTAGGGATTGGCTAACTTCACTTAGCATAATCTGCTCTAATGCCATCCATTTCCCTGCAAATTCTATGATTTTGTCATTTTTTAATGCAGAGTAATACTCCATTGTGTATAAATGCCACATTTTTTTTATCCATTCGTCTATTGAAGGGCATCTAGGTTGGTTCCACAGTCTTGCTATTGTGAATTGTGCTGCTATGAACATCGATGTAGCAGTGTCCCTGTAGCATGCTCTTTTTAGGTCTTTAGGGAATAGACCGAGAAGGGGAATAGCTGGGTCAAATGGTGGCTCCATTCCCAGCTTTCCAAGAAATCTCCATACTGCTTTCCAAATTGGCTGCACCAATTTGCAGTCCCACCAGCAATGTACAAGTGTACCCTTTTCCCCACATCCTCGCCAGCACTTGTTGTTGTTTGACTTCATAATGGCTGCCAATCTTACTGGAGTGAGATGGTATCTTAGGGTGGTTTTGATTTGCATTTCTCTGACAGCTAGAGATGGTGAGCATTTTTTCATGTACTTGTTGATTGACTGTATGTCCTCCTCTGAGAAGTGTCTGTTCAGGTCCTTGGCCCATTTGTTGATTGGGTTGCTTGTTATTTTATTGTCTAATTTTTTGAGTTCTTTGTATACTCTGGATATTAGGGCTCTATCTGAAGTGTGAGGAGTAAAGATTTGTTCCCAGGATGTAGGCTCCCTATTTACCTCTCTTATTGTTTCTTTTGCTGAGAAAAAACTTTTTAGTTTGAGTAAGTCCCATTTGTTGATTCTAGTTATTAACTTTTGTGCTATGGGTGTCCTATTGAGGAATTTGGAGCCCGACCCCACCGAATGTAGATCGTAGCCAACTTTTTCTTCTATCAGACGGCGTGTCTCTGATTTGATATCAAGCTCCTTGATCCATTTTGAATTAACTTTTGTGCATGGCGAGAGAAAGGGATTCAGTTTCATTTTGTTGCATATGGATTTCCAGTTTTCCCAGCACCATTTGTTGAAGATGCTATCCTTCCTCCATTGCATGCTTTTAGCCCCTTTATCAAATATAAGATAGTTGTAGTTTTGTGGATTGGTTTCTGTGTCCTCTATTCTGTACCATTGGTCCACCTGCCTGTTTTGGTACCAGTACCATGCTGTTTTTGTTACTATTGCTCTGTAGTATAGTTTGAAGTCTGGTATCGCTATACCGCCTGATTCACACTTCCTGCTTAGCATTGTTTTTGCTATTCTGGGTCTTTTATTTTTCCATATGAATTTCATGATTGCTTTCTCTATTTCTACAAGAAATGCCGTTGGGATTTTGATTGGCATTGCATTAAACCTATAGAGAACTTTTGGTAATATCCATTTTGATGATGTTAGTCCTGCCTATCCATGAACAGGGTATATTTTTCCATCTTCTAAGATCTTCTTCTGTTTCTCTCTTTAGGGTTCTGTAGTTTTCATTGTATAAGTCTTTCACCTCTTTTGTTAGGTTGATTCCCAAGTATTTTATTTTTTTTGAAGATATTGTGAATGGAGTGGTTGTCCTCATTTCCATTTCAGAGGATTTGTCGCTGATATACAGGAATGCCTTTGATTTATGCGTGTTGATTTTATATCCTGCCACTTTGCTGAATTCATTTATTAGCTCTAATAGTTTCTTTGTAGAGCCTTTTGGGTCTGCTAGGTATAGAATCATATCATCTGCAAATAGTGATAATTTAAGTTCTTCTTTTCCTATTTTTATGCCTTTAATTTCTTTCGTCTGTCTAATTGCTCTGGCCAGTGTTTCGAGAACTATGTTGAACAGAAGTGGAGAGAGAGGGCATCCCTGTCTTGTTCCAGATTTTAGAGGGAATGCCTTCAGTTTTTCTCCATTCAGAATGATGCTAGCCTGAGGCTTAGCATAGATTGCTTTTACAATATTGAGGTATGTTCCTGTTATCCCTAGTTTTTCTAGAGTTTTGAACATAAAGGGATGCTGTACTTTGTCGAATGCTTTTTCCGCATCTATCGAGATGATCATATGGTTCTTATTTTTAAGTCTATTGATGTGGTGAATAACATTTATTGATTTCTGTATATTGAACCAGCCTTGCATCCCAGGGATGAATCCTACTTGATCATGGTGCACAATTTTTTTGATAAGTTTTTGTATCCGAGTGGCCAGAATTTTATTGAGGATTTTTGCATCTAGGTTCATTAGAGATATTGGTCTGTAGTTTTCTTTCTTTGAAGTGTCTTTGTCTGGTTTAGGTATCAGGGTGATGTTGGCCTCATAGAATGAATTTGGAAGTTCTCCCTCTTTTTCTATTTCCTGAAGTAGCTTGAAAAGTATTGGTATTAGTTCTTCTTTAAAGGTTTTGTAAAATTCTGCTGTATACCCATCGGGGCATGTTTTATCTTCTCATTTCTTAAGTGGAATTCTCATATTGATAAGAATAATTTTCCAAAATAGTGGAAGTATGTTATTTGGTTAGGGATATTGAGATGTAGCTATTTATAGTCTTCAAGCTCAGTTATTGTGTAAAAAATATTAACCTCCTTTTGTCTTTCTTTCTTTTCTGAAGGTGCTAGTGAGTGAAGATTCTGACAGTGATGGCATTGTGGCCCACTTTCCTGCCCACGAGAAGCCAGTGTGCTGTATGGCTTTTAATACAAGTGGTAAGTTTTTATTTTGCCATTTATTTCATGAGTTTTCCAGCCAAGTATTTTGGAAATGGAAAATACAAAATATGGAATATGACTTTTCTCCATGTTGTCAGTGTATATCAGAAATGTTGGTTGTCCTCAGTATATTGAATGAATGAATTTATTTACAACTTATAACCAGTCAAAGAATAATAGTTTCACTCCTAGCAAAGTGATGATTAAATTGCAGTGGTAGATAAATAGTGTTATTGAGTTGCATTGATTTTTTTCCACATTTTTTATGGTCCATTATAGTTGTACATAATGATTAGATTTTTTGTTACATATTCATACATGGGCACAATATAACAATATAGTTGGCCAATATCGTACCCCAAAACTTTCCTCTCCCTTCCCTTCTTCTACCCAAGGTTCCCTTTCCTTTACTGATTTCCCTTTGATTTTCATGAGATCTGCCCCATATTTCTTTTCCTTTTTTCCACATATGAGAGAAAACATAGGAGCCTTGATCTTCCAAGTTGCCTTATTTTGCTTGACATAATGGTCTCAAGTTCCATGCATTTTCCTGCAAATGACATGATTTCCTTTTTCTTTATGACTGATTAAAAGTCCATTGTGTATATATACCACATTTTCTTTATCCATTCATCTGTTGATGGACACCTAGGCTGGTTCTATAGTTTGGCTATTGTGAATTGTGCTGCTATAAACATGGGTATATGTGTATTACTTTAGTATGATGACTTTAGTTCCTTTTTTTTTTTTCTTTTTTCTTTTGATACTGGGACTTAAAACCAGAGGGACTTTACCACTGAGGTACATCTACAGTCTCTTTTTTTATTTTTTGTTTTTAATTATGGTCTTGATAAATTGCTTAGGGCCTTGCTACATTGCTGAGATTGGTTTTGAATTTGTAAGCCTCCTGGCTCAGACTCCCAGGTTGCTGGCCACCACACCCAGCTAAAGTCTTTAGGATAAATACTGAGGAGTGGTATAGCTGGGTTATATGATGGTTCCATACCAAGTCTTTTGAGGAACCTTCATACTGGTTTTCATAGTGGTTGTACTAATTTACAATCTCACCAATAGTGTAAAAGTGTTTCTTTTTCTCCACATCCTCTCCAGCATTTATTATTGTCTAAATTCTTGATGACTGCCATTTTGACTGGTGGGACATGAAATCTTAGTGTGGTTTTGATTTGCATTTCCCTAATTGCTAATGATATTGAACATTTTTATATAATTATTGGCTGTATGTGTTTCTTCTTTTGAGAAGTGTCTTAAATTTCGTTTGCCCAGTTATTAATTAGGTTATTTGCTTTTTCAGCATTAAGTTTTTTTTGAGTTCTTTATATATTTTAGATATTAATCCTTTGTCAAAAGAGTAGCTAGAAAAGATCTTCTCCCATTCTGTGGGTTCTCTCTTTACATTCCTAGTTGCTTCCTTGAGTTGCATTGATTTTTGTATTATTATTATGACAAAAGCTTCAGTATTCTAAATCAGAATGTTAATGTATGTGAATGGCATTTTCTTTGTAACTTGAAAGTTTTTTTTTTAACTGATAAGCTCATTTACTTTTATTTTCCTATTGTATTGCATATGCTCTTAGTTTTTCTGGTTTTCTAAGGAAATTTGATAAAGACTAGTATTATAGCACTATATGTGGAGTACCCTGTTACTTTTCATTTTTTATTATGAAAAGATGGAAAAATGAAATAAAAAGTAGTACAACAGTCGTACATGTACCACTACCATCTAGATTCAACAGGTGTTCACATTTATGTTTCTCTGTGCGTGTAAGCACAAGCACATGTGTTTTCCTGCAACTTCCAAACATGTCATATACACTAATATTTCATCCAGTTTCATTTAATCATGCATTTCTTAAAAAAGGATCTTTTCCTATATAATCAGTATTATAGCTCAGAAAAATAACACTTTATATTGTCCAGTGTAATTCATGATTTAAAATTTCCCAAAAATATTTACTGTAACTACTTCAAACCATGGTCTAAGGTTTGCTCCTTACATTATAGGTCTCTTTAAATTCCTTTTAATATAGCATATAGCTTGTACCTTTTTCTTTTCCTTTTTTTTTTTTTTTTGGTGGTTCTGGGGATGCAGCCCAGGACCTGTGAATGCTAGCCAAGCAGTCTTTACCACTGAGTTACATCCCTAGCCCCTTTATTTGTTTATTTATTTATTTTTGCACTGTCCAAAGCATTTGTGTTATTAAAAATCTGGATTTATCAGAGTTTTTCATTATAATGTTTTGAGAATTCCTGTATTTCTTCTACCAACTGTAAGTTAGCCTAGAAAAGCTTAAAACTATTTAGTCTTCTTTGTTTATTTTTAAACTTCCTAAGAACTTCCATGTCCAACTTTTTATCCCAATAGGAAACATATCAGGTCATGTCCCTATTTCTGTTTCATCATATGGAAAAGTTGGTGACCATCAAATGACTGCATACATTTGAGATAGGGTTTTTTTCCTTGTAGAAATTAGCAAGTATTCTATGGAGAGTTATTTTGACCTCAGTTCTAAAACTTTTAAATTAATAGTTCTATTACATTAAAGGTCGAAAAATGATGTTTCTAATTCTATCATATTCCTGCATTTACTTATGCTAGTCTTCTATGGAGAAAGAATTATCTTATCAAGCAGGTATTTACCACAGTTCTCCAATATATTTAGACTGATAAATTCCTTCTTTTTTCTTTTTTTTTTAGCTATCAGTTTTTTTTTTTTTTTAGTAAGCTTGTTAAGCAGTTGGTAATACTTCTAGTTTTGAGAAATGAGGTATTTTTAAAATACTTTGTTTCTAAATAAATGATAAAATTGCTCTTTTACTTTCATGGCTGATATAGTATTTAAAAATTTATAGTCTTTTCAGATCTTATCCATTTGGTTGATGTATCTGAGGAGCCTACCATTTTTATCTTATCTCTCAGAAATGATCATATCACTTGAAATTGATGGGAAAGATTCTTTATTTTTTCCTTCTTTTTTTAAATAATGAATGATGGTAAGAGAGTAATATAGAGTACTTTGAATAATATTCGTTCTAATAACTCAATTAGTAATTTTTTATGGAGAACAATTTTTTAGTGATTGGTGATCAGTAGGATTGATTTAATTAATAAAGACAAAGATTTATTGAAATTGAACGTTGTGAGAATTCAGTTAAATTTGAAGAAACATTCTGAAAGTTATGTTACTTACAGCACTCCAGTTGGGGTAACCAGTATGACTTATTTATTTATTTTTTTTTTGAGAGAGGGAGAGAGAGAGAGAGAATATTTTTTTTTTTTTTTTAGTTTTCGGTGGACACAACATCTTTGTTTGTATGTGGTGCTGAAGATTGAACCCGGGCCGCATGCATGCCAAGCGAGCGTGCTACCGCTTGAGCCACATCCCCAGCCCCATGACTTATTTTTATATTCATCCATTAGGTCAAATTGCCTTTGTATTAGTGTATATTTCAGATGCCACTTCAAGTGCTTTTGTCATTTGGAGATACATTTTTCCTCTTCATGACTTTGTATTATATGAAGAACATATCATTTAATGTAAAGAATTTCATAGTCATCACTATCATTGTCATTGATTTTCCATTAAAAATTGTTTCATTTTTTTGAAGTGCATGTTGCCATTTGGTGTTGACATCCCATATTTGTGTTTATATAAGATTGTTAAAAATATTTATAACTATTTTCCATTTTCCTAGAGTGCTAGGTTTAGGAGTATGATGTAATTTATTTTGTGATAATTATTTGTTTAAATGCTTCTTTCCTTTATAAACCTCTGTCTTCCTCCCAGTTAGGGATCAGATGTTGTTTATCTTTTTTTTTTTTTAAGATAGTAAATTATTTATTTATTTACATATACCTTTTGGTGCCTTGCATGGATCTCAGTGTATTAAGAAAGTTATTGAATGTGTTAATTTGAAACCATTCCCAACTATGAACACTTGGCTCTCTGGTAGGCATGGTATTCCCTGTTATGAAAATAAAGCTAATAAATCAATCAATACTTCATTTTTCTCCCCCCACCCCCTCAGTTTTCTATTGATATTTTGATGAAAGAATCCTAGAGCTATTTTGGAATTTATTCATTTTGAGATGGCTCATAGTGTCTATAGAGTTTTCTCATATTGATTGTATATAATTGTTTTATAAAACAATTTATGAATTTATATATCATTGGAAGTAACCTCAAAATAGGCTACTGACTCATAGATGCCTGTTAATTGAGTTAATACATGGCAATTTCAAAAAACAGCAGTTTTTTCATTGAGTATTAGCTGTATTTTTGAGCTTACCAGCAACAAAAATAGTGAATATTTTCATATAACTTCACTTTTGTTATGCAATTATTGGAATATTGAATATGCTTCAGAATTATTATAGAACCTACATATATCATTATGCATGTACATACACACACATACATACACATATATCTATATGTTTCATTTCATTTGTGTTATTGAGGATGGTGCTCAGAGCCTCCCACATGCTAGACAGGCTAGCTACATCCCCAGCCCTGATACATTTTTAACATCTCATGTAGTTTGTCTTTTAAATAAATATTATTTTGGGAAAGTTGTCCTTAGGCTTCATATATTGTGAAAGCAGCCCATGGTGGTGAAATGGTTAAAATTACCTCATCAAAAGTGTTGAAGCTTGCCAGGCATGCTGGAGCACACCAGTAATCCCAGTGACTTGGGAGGCTGAGGCAGGAGGATTGAGAGTTCAAAGCCAGCCTCAGCAAAAGCAAGGTGCTAAGCAACTCCTTGACAACCTGTCTCTAAATAAAGAACACAAAAATAGGGCTGGGGATGTGACTCAGTGGTGGAGTGATCCTGATCAATATCCGGTACCCCGCCCCCTCCAGGCCAAAAAAGTGCTGAAACTTGAGTTGGGTGTGGTGGTGTACACTTGTAATCCCAGCTACTAAGGAGGAGAATTTTGAGCCTGAGACCAACCTGGGCAGTTTACCAGGATCTTG